TAATGCAGGATAGATTCCATTCGGGGCCATGGGAATCGTGGGGGCGCGTGAGCTATCGGGTCCGATGTTGTCAACACGTGGCCAGAAACGCCGTCGGTTGATCAGTCGGTCGGTTGAAACCATGCACTTTAGTTGAGCCTGAATGCACCCAATGACGCCAGCCACATACCGCGCTCCGCATGTATACATGAGGTCCGATCCCAATCGGGAATTTCAACTTCCAAGATCAAACAGGAGTTCCTTACGAGCAGCCACTGCCTGACATCGCAAGAAATCTGAAAGATTCAACTCTCCTTGTAACTTTCCATTCACTGCATTGGGGAGTTGCATAAGAAAGACGGTCACGATTCCCCTATGTGTCTACCAGTGGTCACGGGTCTGGAAGGCGTTTTCACCATCGGTGGGAGTTCGCTAGTATAGGGTGCTCATCATCTATCGTTCTTATTACAATCTCGCCAAGTCGGCGTTAGCCTGACATACTGATGTTGAGAATCGGAGATGAGTGATCCTGACACTATTACGTCTGTCTGTTCGCAGCGAGCGTATGGCCAGATTTCGGCAAAGCATCGAGCACTAGAGGCATGTAGCATCGTCCACTCGGCACTCTTGGTAGTATGGGCATTTGCAAATAAATCTGGGTCTTTATTGTGCCCTTTCTATGCAATCTCTGAATGTGACAAGGGCGCATATTCCAGGGCCAGTGCTTGGTCCTAGTTGGTAAACTAGCAAGTAGATATTGAGCCTAGCTGTACTACTTTCAATGCAACAGGTTTGAGTCGGTTCCAGATCGGATTAAGGCGTTGCGGCGAGGTACAGACCTCCTATTGGATTTTATACACCCCTAGCAATAGGGCTGAGTAAGCAAGAGCTAAGAGGAGGGTTGCGGGGGGAGGGGAAGGGGAATAGGGAAGGGAGGGAATGTGGTAGCATCATTATCCCGTGAAAGTTAGAATGACCACCAAAAACTCCATTCCTCTTGGTTCCTCCCCTCCTGCCCAAGCCTCCTGCTCCCCATTCGGTGTAATTCCTTCAGAGCAAGCATGACCGTACTGCAGATCTATTCGCTCAACCTCAACCATTTCTTAGCAATGATAATGACCAAACTGTTTTTCTCTGATGGAAGATCAGTCCTTATCACGTGTTTACGAAAACACCTCATTAGCATATGCTCCAAAGGCTATAAAAGGGTAGCGGAGTGAGTTCAACAGTCAGAAGAAGAAGAAATGTCTTCAATTCCTCCCGGCGATATCAACACTCAACCCAATTCGAAGATCGTCTTCAACGCTCCGTACGACGACAAGCACACCTACCACATCAAGATCATCAATGCTTCTGGCCGACGTATCGGATGGGCCATCAAGACCACCAACATGAGGAGACTTGGTGTCGACCCTGCCTGTGGGGTGTTGGACCCCAAAGAAGCCACACTTATGGCTGTCTCCTGTGATGTGTTCGACTATGGACGTGAGGTAAGGTCCCTTTTTGTTCGGGCTCAATTCGACCTGTATGACATCGTACTTCCAGGACACCAACAATGACAGAATCACCGTCGAATGGTGCAACACTCCTGAAGGAGCTGCCAAGCAATTCCGACGTGAATGGTTCCAAGGAGATGGTATGGTCCGCAGAAAGAACCTTCCCATCGAATACAACCCTTGAAGATCTGCATTCGATAAATTAGTTATGTATGGCATTCGTTACGATGTGGAAACACAATAAACGAATTGCTACAGTCGCTGGTTGGGACGCAGAAAATCATTCGTTCCTGTACAAGTAATACCTCATTTCATAGGAAAGGTGCTGAGCTTCAGAACCGAAGCAGATCTTGGGCTGAATCGATTGTGAAGGGCGAGCCGTACAGGTCTCTTTTCAATTTTGGAGTGAGCAGTAGGCTTCCGTCTAGCCCACCAGTCCACCTGGTACTTGGGTCCCTCGACTTAATATACTAATACTATACTACTTACTATACTATTTGGCTGTAAAGTTGCGTGGCTAGGTTAAACTTCTATTTCAATCCAAGACCCCTCAAGCCCTCAACCGCAATACCTTTGGCTTCCGCTTTAGCGATCTCTTAATCCCTGTTTTTCTTACCTAACGGAACTACTGATGGAGAAGATAAGCGGCTAAACTGGAAAGGTCGACTACTCCTAAATTGCTGATCAAAGGCATTAGTATTTGACTTACCTGAGTCGAAATTCGTTAAAATTCTATCCCAGCCCGTCGAAGTTTCCATTCCTCTGCTTTTGACCACCAAACAGTCACCAGAATTGACCGCCGGCTGCAAAACCACTAAGCCCCATGGAATAGGTCCGATCTGAACTCGAACCTTCCAAATTCTTAAAGGCACTGTTCACGAAAAATTGGTTTCGGAGATTTGCACATGGTTTGAATTCGACGCCCCTTCTGATACCATTTGTGCAGGAATGAGGTCGGAAAACGGCTGGATAGGGCACAATAAGGGCAGGAACAGTGGGGGAGGGAGGCCTCCGCCCCTCGCTAGGCTGACTACTAGTTCAAATGGTCCTTCACCACATTCGCACTGGAGCGAAGTTGGTGAAAAGTCGATAAGCTGGTTGGCAAATTACCTGAACACTCCCTAACCGCCGCTATTTCAATGTGAAACTCGTCCAACCCTCCTTCTAGCTCTTTTTTTGACCCTTTGTAATTCTTTTTGTTCATCGTTTTTTGCGCTTATTTCGTTGTTATCGCTTTATTCTAGAGTAGTTCTATCAATTCCCGTCAAAAAAGGGTACCCTAACTTTTTGTGAACGGTGCCATTAAGAAAAGTTGGGCCTCGTTTCAGGTGGTAATGTTTAAGGGTTTGAAAGGCACATTTCGTAACAATTCAGAAGTGCCTACTTAAAGCTAAAGGGTGGAAGTGATAGTGTAAAACAGGGTGGGTTGAATCATCAATAAAAACGTAAAAATCCGCAGAATTTGTCTAATAACAAGTTTTCCAAAGTTGTGTTTGGACGAGATTCCAGCAGTGTGCAACTACATGCAATACGGTACTACCGTAGGCCAAAATTGAAACATGGCAGTTACTGGGGTGGTACATGTGGCATGAGGACGATATTAGGCCCTTATTACGCCCTATTAAGGCCATTTTTCGACCCGACAACGGACCTTGCGCATCAGAAGCCATTTTTATTGTGAACTGCGCCTTCAAAATGAGCAGGGCATTCAAGTCCTGTATCCTTCAGTATTGAAAAAAGGTTTTATGGCTGGACTACTGGAACAAATCGGAACCAAGGTACGATCAGGAGGCTTATCCCATATCAGCAGTTCAAAGACAATTGAGACACTCATTTTTATTCATAAACAGATTTGCATAATAAGTTAAGAGTAATAAATTAAGAATGTTGGCTTGAAATGCATGTCGACAAATGAGAATGATACAATAAATAATTTGTTTATCAAAAAAATATCTTTATCAACTCTCGACAAAATGTACAGGTATATAATATCTGATTAAAGACACCGGTATTTCTGGCTGAAGCCTCCGATGCCGGAACGGAGACTACGACGCGGAACGCCGACGGACATCATATCCGAGCGTATGGGACCGGAAACAAATTGGGGAGGGTTAAACGCGAGGCATGAGGGATGAATTGATGAATGCAATAGGCTCTAAATTGTTTTCCATAACAACGGCGATAAGGTGACGTCACGGCGACAGGCGACGACAAATAACGACAATGACGATAAATAAGCTATTCACGCTAGACTATAAACGGAAAGAACTGGAGAAGTTGGCGGGGAGACGTGAAAATGATGATGATGAAAGATCTGAGGTGAGCTTTAGGGCTAATCGTGAAATCGGGCCACATTATGTAACCCTGAATACACAGGCACATCAACGTGGATCTGGTTGGCTTGACAGCTCAGACTGTTAGCAGCTGGCTGGCTACCTGGTCTAAAACGCTACGGCCATTCTGGTATGTCTGGGTTTAGTCTTCCCATGTGAGTGAATGACGATTCTCGACACGAAGTTGGCAGTTCCTCTTGCCATACCAGTTCACGTAGGCGAATTCTGCATCGGAGACAATTGCGTTGAAACGTCCTCCGAATTTCGCAGCTGCTTCGCTTTCAATCTTACGAGCTGCTTCGAGGTTGTCCTAGAAAATTATGATTTATACAGAAAATTGGATTGAATTGAGGCTATTGGGACATACGCCGCTCGGATATGCGGCGAGCCAGAAGATTAAAACTCGTCCTATTCATTTTCCCCCCATTTTTCAAGGAACCAACTAAGTTACTATCAAATATTCCACAGAATAACCTACTGCCCTGGTTAGTTGGTTGAGAACGAGCAAACAGACTTCTCAAGAACAGTACTGTTTATTTCTACTTTTACCCAGGGGACAGTATGGGGCGAATACATCATTCTCTGGGAGGGGACCTGATTTTACTGCATCCTAGACCGGAAATCAGTGCCGCCAAAGTAGGATCCCGTGTTTACAAGAGCCCCACATAGTCATACCCCACCCATACTGTTTGGGAAATCGGAACGACAAAAACAGGAACCCTATGGGACCCGAAATTCGGAATTCCGGCTCGGGCTACAGGGTGCACCCAATGAATTGAAATTGAACCTTCTCAGTAGTCAACGCTCCTTCGACGATTGCTTTCAGCTCTGGATCGTCGCAGTTACCCTCGTCACCGGCTTCATTTGTGTAGTCGACGTCATTTGTTGATGGAGAAGACTGTAATTGGGGAAAAATTAATCGATATATCGATTGATAGCTTGAGAATGAGCAGAACTGTGCCCTCAAACTTACAGCTATCGTATTCGTAGCGTCAATAGACTGTTGCTCTTCAATGATGTCGTCATAGCTGGATTCCTCTGCAAAAGAACAGGTATCTATAAGTCAGTAACCCCAATCTTTAAAAATTGTAGGTCATTCTCAAAGCGAAGCGAGTAGCCACGAATTAATGGTCCCAGCGGGCTACCAAGGGGTGTAATGATGAACGGATAACGATTGTCGAGGAGGAAGAATGTGGGAAAAGTAAGTAGCCGCAAAAAATGTGGAACCGTGCACAGAAGTAAATTTGGGGGACCATGTTGGAGCAACGGATAGGGATATAGGAGGCTATCCATAAAAAGTAACCTTTTGGCGTTTCAGTGGCGACGGCGACCTGGGATGCTGTTTGCTGGGAGCCCGCAACGTGTTCACTGGTTGCGTCAACGTTGGTCACCACTGGCGTCTCGACGGGAGTTGGCTCGACTGGTGTTTGCGGCGCAGTCTGGAAAAAGTTGAAATGAAATTCTCTATGTGAAAACCCTGGGAATTCAATAGACTACCTCTGACACCGTTTCGACTTCTGTTGGTTGTTGAACGGTTTCAACAGTTCCTTGCTGATAGGTAGCCCCTCCTACTGGAGCAATGGCACCGACACTTGGTTGCTGGTACGATGTCTGTGGTACTGCTGGGGCAACTGGAGCAGAGGGGCCCTGTTGGTAAGTGGCGCCTCCTACGCTAGCGGCTGATTCAAATCCTCCAGCAGCTGCTGGTGCTGAATAGCTTCCACCTCCACCTCCACCTCCAGATGTTCCAACGAATCCTCCATTGCCGCCTGCAGCAGCTCCTCCCGCGTAGGATTCACTTACTCCTCCACTCACTCCTCCAACATATCCTCCAGCGCCGCCTCCTCCTCCTCCCGCTCCTGCAGCATAAGATTCACCTCCTCCAATGGCTCCTCCAATGGCTGGCCCTCCTCCTACTGGTGCTGAGTATGCTCCTCCTCCAGCTCCTCCAAGTCCTCCGATATCTGCTCCACCTACTGGGCCACCACCGATTGGTGCTCCACCTCCTGCAGCTGAGTAGGCTCCTCCAGCTCCTCCTCCGAGTCCTCCGATATCTGCACCACCTACTGGGCCACCACCGATTGGTGCTCCACCTCCTGGAGCTGAGTAGGCTCCTCCTCCACCTCCTCCGAGTCCTCCGATATCTGCTCCACCTACTGGGCCACCAACGATTGGTCCTCCACCTCCTGGAGCAGAATAGGCTCCACCTCCAGCTCCTCCGAGTCCTCCATATTCACCGCCCAGTGGACCACCACCGCCCAGAGGACCACCTCCAATAGCAGGCGAAGCGTACGGACCACCGGCTCCAATGGCTCCCTGAAAAGAAATCCATCAACCATGCTCAGAAGAAATGGTTGTTCCTATTTAACTATACTTACTCCTGCACCGTATCCAGGTGGTGGTGGCGGTGGAGGTGGAGGAGGTGGTGGAGGTGCAGCATAACCAGATGACACAGGAACAGGAATCGGTATAGGTGCTGAGCCACCACCACCACCGCCACCGTAACTGAAAAAAAGTGATTAGTTGATTTGTAAACGTACACTCAAATAGATGAAAGCCAAATAAACAAGAGAATGATGGAGGAAAGGCACCAATTTGTGGCTTTGAATGAATCTAAAACTTTTAATGCCTCGAATAGATCGATACTATTCTTTTTCACAGTAAGTCCAACAAATTTCTCGAACACTGAATTCCTTGAATCACAGCAACTCCACAGACCTTTCCTAAGAGTACTGGTAGTTTTGAGGAGAGCCATTGAGCAGCTCATCGCGCACCTAAGCCATCCCTCAGTGGTCAGTCCATTACATTGCATCAACGAGGGCTACTATCGACATAACTTGAGCATAACTCAGCTTCGAGCGCGGCTCAGAACCTGCTTTTCCCATAGGCTACATGACTTTCAGAGATGATTCCTTGTTTGCTCCCCCTCTCTTGCTTCTACCTCTGACAGGAACTCAAAATGAATCGCTGTGGAGGTAGATTCCGTCAGGCGACTTCAAAAACTGGAAGAATCCCGAGATCAGCTCCTGTATTACATACAGTATGGATCAGATTCTCGTCGAAGAAGGAGCTTCAGAGATACTCATACCAGCTGACCAAACCAACGATTATCCCATACTGAAGACCGATATCTAATAAATGCCGAATATTCGCAGTAGATCCAGCCGTCGTACCACTCTGGTAACTCCAATAGGATGGATTTCATCAAAAGACAACAAGCAACCTCAGCTCACCCTCGTGAGTTGCTGTCTGGGAGACTGGGTATGTAGAATTGGAGATGGGCACTGTTCCTACCCTGCGCTCGAAAAAACCATGGTATGGGGATGAGTCAGACCCCATCACCGATTCCTTGGACTATTCATCGAGTCCAGTTCCGGTGTCTGCAATCCATCGTCCAGGAACAACAGGAATTCCTATCAAATCAACTTTTTTCATGAAATCCATCATAACCCGTGCAACGTAAGCAATAGGGCTTGTAGTGATGGATATTCAGATGGGACGATAATTAATCGCGATTTAGAGCCGTTTTTTTCACGGGCTATTCATGTTTCAGCTGTTCCGCCGAACCGGCTCCAGACCTTCATAGCTGTGACTTTTTTTTTGGGTGGCTCGCGCTTAAGGTTTCACATCAGCAGGCAAGACATCCGTGGACAGGAATGATAAATGAACCAGAATTCGGCAACATTTAAACAACACTTCAAACTTCTTTTTTCCCAACATGGAGCAATGCCAAATGGCGCCGTTATCACATACACGTTCTATAATCGGAACTGGATCGGAACCCACCCAGGACAACCTGGTCTTCCGCTCCTTCAAGGTCGAATGATTGGCATCGAACTTATCAGGGAAGGCAAAAACTGATTAACATTGACATATAGGATAGCCATCCTATGCAAATCATCACCGTAGCCAAATATGCTTCCAAATGACACTACGATCCTGACGGGAACCGAGTGAGTGGGCAAATCCCGAAACCCCATTGGTCTACGACAAATTTCAAACATTTCGTATATCTTTCAACTTCCAAATCGAATTTCAGCTTTGAATTTCTGCCGTGCTCTCAAAAAACCCGTACCGAAGCTAGAGTGCAACAAGAATTTCTTAGAACTACTTCGCCCAACCACTTCCTAAGGCGTTTGGAACTTCCAAGGGGGAACTGAGAAGTAATCAATGAAGGAAACTCAGATTGCAAGTTGCTGGTCGAGAAACTGTTTTCCCTTTACCCCTTCAAGCTTGCTACCTCCCCACGGCTCCTAGAGTCGAATCCTTCATTCATGCCCTTAATTTTACAATTCCTCTCAGAAAAGGAAATCAGGGAACAAAGCGCTGATCAACTCAACCCCTCCCTCTGGATGCGCCATGGACACCACTTATTGTTAGACTTCTATCGAAGGGCTATTTAATTATGTAGTTACATAGTCTCCCTAATGAATCGCGAAACTAATTTTAAGCCAAGCATTCTTCTTTTCCTGGCTAGCTACTTTGTAGTACGTAGTGGATAGACCCATAGAGGGAAAGGACACCCAGTTCACCCTGGGGTGAAATTTGATCCAGTACACGTCCTTCAACTCGTTCTTACGCCAGAAGCGCCGTTCACCACTGCCCGAACTGGGCCTCTTCTATCACCTACTGAATGGATGTATGATGCATTGCAATGTGATCAAAATCGGTCATCCTTGACACCCCTATTATTATCATTAGGATAATGGTAAAGGTGATTGCGGACAAATTTGACATGATTTATGAGTCCTACTAACCCTTTGCGATAAAACCAAAGATTACGGTCACTATGCTGGCGGAAGGCATCGTGAACTCGCTTTTTCTGAGGGTTTTTTTGAAAATCACCATCTTCACGCTGGATCCGTTGCCCGATGCCCAATTATCAGTTTCATCTTGTCATTGCCTCGCTGACCCCGTTATAACTCATCGAATAACGACAATTCTAGCTTCGAATTCCGTTTTACCCCTTCAGCCACAAAAGCCATCACTACAAAAGATCAGCATAGACCTGCTATAATGAGTAATGACCAAAGCGCCGCTATTGGTACCGCTTCTTATGATTCGATTCCCGTCTAATCCTTCAGGGATTGACTGAGGTGGGCAAGACCC